AGAATTAATATACTTCAGAATTATCAAAAAATTCTCATATGACATTGGTGTTAAATGTTGCTATTAAGAAAATTCGTTAGGCACATTAAAGGCTGTTATCACCGGATGTCGTTGACAACGGCACTGGAACGTAGAGTAAACATTTGGGTCTGAGTTCCTTTCATAGCCCTTTAACAGTCCTTTTATTATATTTGTGTGCACTAAAGACGTCAGCAGAAAATAATGGAACAGGATTATTTATAGTTTCGAGTTACGCATCGCATTCGTTTCGAAAAACATCCGTCCTCCAGGTTTCCCCGCCGAGGTCGCCGGTGAATAAAATTAATGTATTGGCAGGGGTCCATTACCCGTAGCCTCCATACCAATTGTACTCTTGAGTCAACCCTGTCATGTATCTCTTTATTTTTAGAACTGAGATACGTGTGTGTGTGTCTTGTTGTGGATACTGCTAAGTCTCTTGATTTCTTTGTATAACTGGCAAAATGAGAGTAAAATTTATTATCTAAAGTAAACGTGAATGGAATTTCAATTATTCAGAATTGATAACGATGATCATGAATGATTTTGGTTCAGACTTTTTGAGTCCAACCCAAGAATTCAAGACATGTTTCCCGCCTTAACGAGTTAGAAACTTGAAGGCGTAAGCAACTCTCGATCTCTGTATCTTCACTTCATACGAGTCATGACTACACTGGAAAATGCTGTGTTTTCTTTATACGACGCAGAGGTTTTCATCGAGTATTTGATGAACCTTGGAGAGAGACATAAAACATGGCCCCTGAGGCTGGAACATTTCGATGTATGTATTCTATTCTGCCGACCAAGGCTACTTACGAGTACATATTGTTGTATAACGCTGTATAGTAATGTAAACTACAGAAGAGGGAAGTATAGAGCTATCTAGGAGTACATATCGCTGTTTATGATCCACCAATTTTTTTTTGCTCGCGCGCGATTGGTCTAAACGCAGCAAGCGACTGAAAATCCTCTAGCTAAAACTGGGAGATATCCGAGAATATAACCCGAGCGATATTCCCAAATTTTCAAATCTTACATCCACCACGATAAGTCTTCGTTTCAAACTTAATTCAATTCAGGATAAGTTAGTATTATCATCTGAGTTGATTACGTAAGCTGAAAGCTTACGTTTCGAGCGTCAGCCCTTTGCAATCGCTCTGACGAAGGGCTAACGCTCTTTGTTACCCCTTTAGTCATTCGATTCAGTAAGTTGTTCATAAACATTTTCCACGTGCGTT